GTGTGCATACAAACCTAGAATTGGATCTATGTTTTCACTATTAGATACACAACATTGTAAACACATGAAGAACTAATTCTTTTAGTCACCAAACTAATTCTTAATTAATTTATGACTAATATTAATTAAATAATATGATTTCTGCTTTAATATATAATTCTTATAATATATTAATAAACCAAAATAACCTCTTTCTCTATTATTTATCCAGTCGAGTTGCTTTGGTGAAGGCAACCCAAAAGGACCATGCACAACCAGGTCAAGTACTTACCACATATGGTTACGGGCTTAGAAACTAATCTAATAGATAGTGGTTGCTCAAGTCTCATGACTAAAAGAAAGGAGAATTTGTGAGATTATTGAATCTTGGATAATGCTGGAGTTGTGAAGTTCGGAAACAATCACTAATGTCAAGCCAAAGGATATGACAAAGTAACGAATGGAAAATTTACTATAAATCGTGTTCCCCATGTTGAAGGTTTTCAACATAATTTGATAAGTCTTTTACAACTTGTTGTGGGCACTGGAAATGAATTTGTGTTTAATGAAGAAGGGAGTATCATTTCAAAGGTTGAAACGAATGAAGTATTGCTGAAGTCAAAATGATATGGCGATATATTTACTCTTGACATAAAACCTATTGTAGGGAAAGCTTCAGTTTGTTTACTTTCGAAAACTTAATCTCATGTTAGCTGGTTATGGCATCGTCGTTTATCACATTTAAATTTTTGAAATTTAAATAAATTGGTCACTAACGACCTTGTTCGAGGCTTACGAGTGTTAAAATTTAACAATGATACTTTTTGTGCAACTTGCAAACAAAGGGAAACAACATTGAAAAGGACATCCAATTATGATAGATTCGAAAATTGTAGAACCTTTGGAACTTCTTCATGTTGACCTTTGTGGACCATCAATTGTTGAAACTCTTAACAAGAAATGGTACATTTTGGTTATAGTTGATGATTTTTCACGATTTACTTGGGTTTATTTTCTCAGGTTAAAATCTGAAGTTGCCCAAACAATGATTGAATTTATCAAGCAAATTGAGACAAGTTTGAAGAAGAATGTTCAAAAAATCAAAAGTGATAATGGGTCAGAGTTTAAAAACAATGTTCTTGATTCGTTCTTAAATGAAAATGGAATTTCACATACTTTTTCGTCACCATATACACCACAACAAAACGGTGTAGTTGAACAAAGAAATAGGTCTTTATGTGAAGCCACAAGAAGTATGTTGACTTATGCGAATCTTCCACAATATCTTTGGGCAGAAGCAGTTTCAACAGCCTGTTTTACTTAGAATCATTCTTTTATTCATCTTTGTTTTAATATTACTCCTTACGAAATAATAAACAATAGAAAACCTAATGTCAAATTTCTTCATGTTTTTGGATGTAGGTGCTTTATTATGAATCTCAAGGATAACCTTTCGAAATTCCAAGCTAAAGCCGATGAAGGAATTTTCTTGGGATATTCACATAACTCGGTTGACTGTCGAGCGTTTAACAAATGCAAACGAAAAGTTGAAGAAACGTTTAATCTAACTTTTGATGACTATTATGTGAAACAAGTTGAAAATTATTTTGCACAAAAACCAATTCTTAATGAATCAAATGATGAATCCGAAAGTTCTTCTTCATCTGATTTTGATTATGATTTAACTTTTGGTGTTCTAGATAGGGCAGAAGAAGAAGAAGAAGTAAGTGTAGAAGCAAATCGAAGTTTTGAATCTTCGAAACATTCTGATGACTCGACAATCACATCAAATACAACTGCTAATGGCAAAAGAATTATAGATGAACAAGTGAAAGGGGAGAACTTGAATATTTCTTATCATGAGGGGAGCATCCTTTCAAGGGGGAGAGAAGCAGTAGTAATGCAAGTTTCGAGGGGGAGCATCATAATGAGAATTATGATGATAGAGGACATAGTGAAAATGAAATGATAAATCTTGATCAAAATAATGAATTTGACGAAGTTAATGATAATTTTTCTGTTGCAGGATCTGAAAATGAAGAATTATATGAAGATGCACATTTGGATTTTCATCCAGCATATCCACCACTCGAAAAAGGGACAAGAGATCATCCGAAAGAACAAGTTACTGGGAATCCTCAAGAAGGCATTATGACAAGAGCCTAAATTCAAGCAAAGAATGAGGTACTAAATGAACATCAAGAGTTTTGTATGTTTAATGTGTTTATTTGTCTTTGTTTTTTTTTCGAAAAATTTGAAAACCAAAAAGATTTTCTTCTATTTTTTATCTTTTAATTTTCGAAAACACGAAAACAACAAAAAGATTTTATTTTTGTTTAGTTTTTTTTTTTCGAAAAATTCAAAAACACAAAAAGATTTTCTTTCTTTTCAAAAATACAAAAGCACAAAAAGATTTTTCTTTAGATGTTTGTTATTTTCTACTTTGTTTTCTTTTTTATGTACAGAAATCAAGAATATCTTTCTCAACGAATGTGAGCATTTCTAGGGAAATGTATATTTTCGAAATTTTGTATTGGTTAGGTTGTCCCTAGAAGCATGCTGCAGCATGTCGACTCAAGTCTCCAGTAACTCAATGTGTGTTTTACGAAAGCCTTAACAAAAATTTTCTTATGAAAATTTCTTCCCAAGTCAGGTTTGTATTCACATTAGTCACCTGAGCTACCTTACTTTTCTCAAATGAGTTAAGAGTTTTCTGTTTGGTCTCAAATAACATAGGTACAAGTTGTTTCTCAAACCAATATTTTTCATCCGAAAGTTCTTGCACGAGCACACACAATGACATATTTCCAAGAGGTCTTTGATCAAACCCATCAAAGACTTAGACATATCAACATTCTGTGTTCATGATTTGACATAATGAGGTCGTGATCAAAGTGAAACCCAAAATTCTAACTTTATAAGGAATTGACGGGGTACTTTGTTCTAGATTTTAATGAAACATTTGTTTCAGTACCAATTTTCAAAACTCCAAATCATATTCATTTCTTATGAGTGATCTTGATCAAACTATCGAAACCCACAATGTTTGTTACCCAACAGGATCCAGCACAAATATTTTTTCATGAATATAATTTCCGTGTGAGTTTTATTTGATTTCGAAGTCACTTTCAAAATTAATTCACAGCTTACTTGTCACTAACTACACTGGTTAAACAGAAAATTTCTGTTAGAATTACTCACCTTATGTTTAGGTTGATATGTAATGAAATTTGTAAGCCACCTACGAAGCCTTATAAAAGAAGCCCTTCGATTGTATTTTATGGGAAACCACACAAGCAGTTGATCATTTCTCTTAATGATTAATGAAGTAGCCTTTTCCCGGGGTTTAATTGCCTTTGTGTTGAAATATTATTTTTTGACATCATAGTTTCCAAAATTTTTGTTAATTTGCTTCTTATCTTATTCTTTTGACACACTACACTCACGGAATCCTTGAGGTTTTGAGTAATACCAACTTAGGCTGATGATTTTGAACAACTGGCACATGACTTTGCTTGTCATCCTAAAAGTGAAAGAGCCTTACTTCCATCTGAAGGTTGGTGACGATTACAATTCCACTGGGTGAAACAATACAAGCTGTTTGATGCGACGTCTTGTATTCTTTTTGGTTTTCAAGGAGAAGTGATAGTTACTTTTTCACACATGACTACTTTTTCGGAATAGTGGTGCGTTTTTCAAGGTACCACGCTGGATCTCATTTAATGCATATCCCGCTTCAAATTCAAATTCTAGGGTTACATATAAAAGGGAATTCAAGGGTTCTTTATCAGTTTACGCTTTCAAAAGAAATTCTTAAATTGTTAAAGATTTCTCTGAGTGTTCTTCAATGTTTTCAAAACGCTAATCATGGCTACTCTAACTGATGTTAATGCTCCATCACAAACAACAAAAAAATTACTTCCCAACCGATCATGAAGATTCAAGGCACAAATTATCAAGTCGAAGAAGATGTATCACTCTATCCAGATGAATTGAAGATGTTGATAGTTGCTTTGAAAAGTTATGTTCTTTCTACAGCCATGTTTAATTCATTTGTAGTTCCTCTATCTTGGCTATCTCAAGCAAGATCTACTGCAACATATATCAAAGCTTTGGATGTTATCACGTTTCATATGGTGAATGACAAGAAGGTTCGTTTGACAAAGAAGATGTTCTGTCAAATTCTGGATATTCCTAACTCTTCACCATATACTGATCTTTCGTTTCCATAAATTGTTCATATGTTTAATGAGATAGGTCATCAACCCCCACACACCAAGATCAGTGATTTCAAGAAGTCTAGAATTCAAACTATTTGGAATTTTCTATTTGGTATCTTTCTACATTGCTTGACTGGTCGTAGTGTTGGTTTGGATAAAGGTCATATGGAAGTCTACGCTATGGTTGTTGGTCTATACTATGACATTTCAGTTGATTATTCTACCTAGATGTGGAAGGAATTCTAAAAAAGCGTTGAGAACACCAATGTAGTTCAAGGAATTTCATGTGCGAGATACTAGAGTTTGATTCTTGGTCATGTTTATGATAAATAAGGGATTGAGGTGCCAGTTGAGGAAGAAACTGATGACTTCTTGAAGTATCATTTTCCTAAAGAAGTTACAGATGATGCTGAGGTGTTCACGACCATTGCTCAACTTCTTGATGCCATGTTGAAACGTGTTGATCCCACTAACTCAATCTTAGTTGAGTATTTGAAAACCATTAATCCTAATGTTGAAACAGGGAAGTTGTTGTCAAAGGAAGAAGCAGGTCCTTCTAAAAACTCAAGAAAATCAAAGAAGGATGCAACAACTACTCCCGAGAAACCTGTTCAGGAGTCAAAGAAAATGAAGTCACCAAAGAAACAGACAAAGCCAAAAGAACAAGTTTCAACTGTTTTGATTGAGCCAATAGAGCCTGTTATTGATGAACAAGCTAAGGTTACTATTCCATCAAAATCTGGTGTCTTTAGAAGAATTAAGAAGAAGTATAGTGGTTCATAAAGACCTCCAACTCTAACTATGGTTCAAAAACCCCACATTACACATCAAGGAGTTCTTATTTGTGAAGTTCCAGTTCCTGTTTCTCCATTATCAAAGAAAAGAAGAGATGAAGATATAGCTAAGTGTTTGTCCAAGAAGAAGAAGACGAAGACACGGAAGCTGGTTATTCAAGATGAATCTTTTGGAGACAAAGTTATTCTTGAAGCACCTGAAATAACTCTTACAAAAGAAATTTCATATCCTGAGAACACAATTGTCATACCACCCGAAGATTCGATAGCCAAGTCATTTAATGAGGAGGTTCGAACATCAGAAATCAGTACAAATATATCTAATATGGATGTAAATGTCAATATGGGTGAAGGAGATTTGAATCAAGAAGCTCCAAAATCTACTCATGGTACTCCTGTTATCCTTCCCATCGACAATGTCACCAGCACCATTGTTTCATTACCACCATATATAATTCCCAATACATCTATTACTTCTTCACACACTTTCACATAAATACTTAATCAACCATTCACTACATTGTTTTCTTCCTAATCCACTGATCCACCAAAATCGGATGAGCCACCCACACCTCTTGAAGAATCTGAAAATGAAGATACAGGATTTGGTGGTATTTTCGCAGATCTTCAATTTGACGAGGAAGGAGAAATTTTTTTGATCACATGCAAATGTAGATGAAGCAGTTTAAGATTTTGAATAAAAAATTAAATTCAGTTATTTAGTCTCGAGCTGATGTGGCGGGATGTCAGTCAGTTTCAAGTTTGGAAATTGATAGGTTGTTAAAGACATTTGAAGCCAGGATGGTTAGTAAAGTTTTTGGAATGATTAAAGATTCGGAATCTCGACTGTTGGAAAAGGTAGATCATTATGATCATAATAATGAGTTACATGTGAACTCTCAGGATTCAAAGTTTATGGGGGCAGTAAAAGAATAAAAAAAAAGATGCAAAAGAGAGACATAATTTGTTTATTCTTGATGTGAATAAGGTTAGAGAAGATGTGAATTTTAAGCTTCAAGAGCTTCGTGAAGATATGGCAAAAGAGATTGCTAGTGTTCAACAAGACTATGCAGCTGTACATAAGAATGAGGATATTATTTGTGATGCTGTAATGAAGTATGTTAAAATGTAGGAAAGTTTGACTCCTCAAATTACTCACCTTTCTAAAAGTGATAGTCATAATTTTTTGGAGGTTATTTCATTGTTAAAGGAATTGAAAGACTTTGTGGTCAAGCCTGCTTCAACTTCACTTATTACCCCAGAATTCTTATCTCAGAAGTTTACATGGTTAGAAGCAGTTCTTCACAAGCAATTGGCTCCTTTATCTAGAATTTCTAGTCTTTCACCAACAGATGCCCCACCTGTTGTCACAGGGGTGCAAGGGGGATAAAGGAAGGTTGGTGATATGACTTCGCATGAAAGTGACAAGACTGTTGGAAAACTTTTCTCACCAACAATTCCAACAACAAATGCCGATAACAAAGCCAATTACAAAAGGAATTGTTATTGGTTCTTCTGCTGAAGGTGGTAGTAGTTCGAAGCCGAAGCCGAAGGAAGCTATTGATATATCTTCGGACAAAGACAAAGGGAAAACAATTCTGGTTGAAAAATCTAAAGAGGAGAAGAAAGTTGAAGCTGAAGCTTTAGTGGAGAAGTTAAGAGTTGTTCAGATCATAATGAGACTTCGTGCAAATGATCCTCCTTGAAAAATAAGGGAGATCCTGCTAAACATTACAACTATGAAACAATTTAAGCAAAAGTGTATTATAATCACATGTATGCTTTTTAGAAGAAGCCAAATCAAAGCTATGTGGTTACAAACTCAGATATGTGCCAACTTGATTTTCCTGTGAACGAGATGATGTTCATAATGCCTCAATTCAAGATTGCTAAAAATTTCAAAAATGAAGATGCATATACCTACATGAAACTTAGGTTTCATGCTGTTCTAGGGAAAGGTCCAGAGGAGATATGGTTTTTATTGAAGATAAAAAAAGGTGATCAGTATTAAGAAGGATGCTTTGTTTGAGAACTGCTGCAGAATTTTCGTTTCTATGTTACAAGGGCGAATGGTCAAGTGTGTGACTTCTATGTAGCTGATTTTCCATTGATGCATTTGTATGATCTTATACAAGTTGCTTTGCTTTTGAAAGATAAAAATGTTTCGTATCTTCGAGAAACTTATCCAAAAGTTTTTAGGCTTGGTCTTGCTCACATCAAGATATTCATAAATAACCACTATGAATGTTTGGCATGAACTGATGTGGAGTTGGCTACTACAAAAAGGGGTTAGAAGTGAAAGCTCCTATGGAGCAACGAAGAATCAAGTTGAGTTAAAGAAGTATGCTGATGGGGAAATATGCTTGAAACCATTTGGGTTAGTCTTCGTTGGAAAGGATAAAAATGGGAAGAATAAAAGATTTTTGTTCCAAGCATCTAAAGTGGAAAGGTATACCACATCCCTGTATACGAACTTTATTGTTTGTACGAATAAGTGTTCAAAGAACAATCAAGGGGATAAGAAAGAGATGAAGAAGATATTATCTTGGTATACTGAGATTCGAACGGTGATGCTTTTTGCTATTCAAATTATCACGAATTGAGAAGGTCGACATTATTACAAAGGGGGAGATTGTAAGGGTCGAAGACTTGTTGTAATATGTCGAAGACTTTAATAGTATTTTACAAGGTGTTTGTGTATCGAAGCTTAGAAGTTTAGTCCTTGTAATTTTTTGTGTGCTTTCATGTCTCCTATAAACAGGGACATTACTTAGAGTTAGGTAAGAGTCTTGGTAAGAACATGTGTAGATTCTCTATGTAAGAACTGAAAGCATAATTGAGCTGAAACCAGATTATATTTACTTCTTGTGTTCAATTTGTATTGATCTTACTCTGATTTGTTTCATATACTCAATTATCTCTTCATCATCATGAGACAATAGCGATGTGTTGAGCTGATGAATGAATATGAATGTGAGGTCCGGTATCATTCGGGCAAGGCCACTGTGTTGGCTGATTCCCTAAGCAGAAAAGAATACTCGAATCGCCGAGTAAGAACACTAACAATGACCATCCATTCCCACTTGTCTTCACAAATCAAGGAGGCTCAACTGGAAGCCTTGAAGTTGGAAAACATTGCAAACGAAGCCTTGCGTGGGATGGACAAAAATCTTAAGATCAAAGAGGACGGAGCCTACTACCTCATAGACCGAATCTGGACCCCAAAATTTGGTGGATTTAGGGACTTGGTCATGAATGAATCCCACAAGAAAAGGTACTCCGCCCATCTGGTTCCTACAAAATGTATTTGCATCTCAAACAACAATATTGGTGGCCGAATATGAAAGTTGAAATTGCTACCTACGTGAGCAAGTGCCTGACGAAAGTAAAGGTAGAGTTTTAGAAGTCCTCCAATCGATTGCAATAATCCAAAATAGCTGAGTGGAAATGGGAGAGGATAACGATGCATTTCATAAACAAATTACCCAAGATGGAAGACTGTAACGCCTGTGTTTCTGGGCTTGTCATTAATGTTGATATAATAGTCTAGGTTAACCTTTGTAACTCGTTTTGAAATAATAGAAGTGTATTATTTGCGTATTATGTGTTTTCTGCTTAACTGTGTGACTTAATTGAATTAAGAATAAAAATAAGCATCAAAATGAAATATTAGATAACCTCTATATCTATGGATAATTTTGTAGTAGTTGAAATGAGGTTTTTGAATATATAAAGAATGCCGAAATCCGAGTTATAACGAAGAAGTTATGACCTGTCGAAGTTTTGCGACAGAATCGGCAACGCTGAGTGACGTAAAAAGTGAAATTCACGTTAGATCAATATTTAGCCTTAGTGATCTAAACGAAAGTCGCAGAGTTCGTTAAATCGAGATCGTGCATATAAAGAACGCCCAAATCTGACTTCGTATGATGAAGTTATGATTTTTCTAAGTTTCGACTTAGCAATATGCAGCCCGAATACTCGATTTAAGACCGAGCGGTTTTTAGCTGAAACAATCTAAACGAGAATTGAAGATCTCGTTAATTGTAGTGAAACGATGAAAAGACAGAAGAAAACGGACGTCAGATGAAGAAGTTATGAATTTATAACGGAGTTTTCCTTTCCCGACCTACTAAAAATAAATAATAAAAATAAAAGTCAAAATTAGCCGACGGAGTCTAAACAAAAGTTGTAGAGCGTAGTCTCACCTACGCGTAAATATAAAGAACGTCGAAAACGGAGTTAGTATGATGAAGATATGAATTTCCAAATTTTTTAAATGATTAATATGTATTAATTAATTTTTAATTCGGATGTATATCCGAAGGAGTCATCTACCCAATCCGAACTACGCCCAACATACCCCAATGCATGCACCGCCTCGGACTCGAGTCCTCCGATGACGCATACAGTGATGTTTTTGGTCACGCACACCCCGCGTAACTGAGTACGCCCAACGTACGTGCGAGGCTCAGCCTCTATAAAAGGCATGCGAGGGCAGCTGGCTTCTTTTGCCAAATTCTCTCCGCTCTCCCCCGTTTTGCATCGTCTTACGTGCTAGAAATATCCCAAAGCCCCAGTATCAATCCCGAGCCCCGAAGCAAGTACCGAAGCCCCGAAGATCCCGAGAAATACAATTCCCGAGTTGTAGCTTTGCCCGCGAGAACCCCGGTTTTTGTGAAGATCTTCCAGATCTACCGAAGAATACTACTTCTACAAGTCGTAGTGCTGTCCAATCATCTTCTGATCAAGTGAGTGTGTAGTTACTTTCTTCTAACGCATAATTATGAAGTGTTTTATGTAAAATACGTGTTATCTGTATATTTTATTGTTATAAGTGTGAATGTATATTCACTTTCTTCTATCTCATAGATCTGATTTATTCTCTATGAAATACATGTTATGTGTGTGTCTCATCTGTTATGTGGAATATGTATTGATTAAACATGCTATACTGGTTTTAAACTATGTATAAATATATATATTTTTATCTACTAATATGTTGGGTAGAACATGGGTAGATAGTTGATGTGTGATAAACAGATGAGAGGCCTCGATGTTGTTGATGTTGACCTAGTCATCTAGCGGAGTATGGATGACGACCATGGACTCTTTCTAGACAGTCCAGTGGAACGCTAGCAGGTTCATAACCTGTAGGTGTTGTGAACCATGTGTTCACCGGTGTACTCTATCCCCCTCATGGTTGCCTTTAGGATATTTATTTTTGAGGAAACCCCTTAGCAGTAATGTCCGTCCCGATGAAAATCCTAGATTAGGACCCTTGAGATAGATGTTGTTTTAGGGACATAAAGTGAGGATAACGGGAATGGGTAATCGGGTTATTGTTGGTTGGTGAAATTAAATATAATTATTTATTGTGGTTTGAAAACCCTATATGCTCACCAGGCTCCCAAGCCTGGCCCACTCTGTTTATTTGTATTACAGGAAGTGGCGTGAAACATCCCAAAATAAGACCCAATTTTTTTTTTTAACAAT